CACATACCCAAATATTTCTCACCTTGACCCAAAGCTACGTTACAACTCTTGAAAAGTCCTTATAATTCTTGCTAAGCATGTGACATAAGTGGTGGCGAATGAGAACATATATAAGCAAATGTTAGAGCATCTCCATTTGAATGAATTTGAGTGAAACACTTGCCTTTTAAACACATGAGAGTTGAGTGCTTATATCCATGAGAGTCTACATGTTTAGTTTACTCCATCTTCATATGAAAATGCTTGCTAATTGATTATGAGTTGTGTGGGAATGTTTATTCATGATATCTTATGTGTCTTGAAAAAGTTTGATGGTTCTATGTTCATGGCATTACTACCTGGTATTTTTGGAGAATTAAATTTAAGTTTTGGTCGAGTACAAGCAAAAGCTAAGTGTTGGAAAATTTGATAGGAATGTAAAATGCATATTTTTTCCTCCTTGTTTTATGTGCTCATATGATTAATCATTGCCAAAATGTACTCATTACGTACATATTTTGATTTAGGTGGCAATTCAATGGAGATGACATAATTTGGAAGAAATAGGTGAGAAAAGACTAAAGTGAAAGAAAATGAAAGTTCAAGGACTAACGTGAAAATACACAAAAGTTGTGTCAAATCAAATGATGAAGATTTAAGAGTGTTAGAAGTCAATTGAATGAAGAAAGAAGTCAAAGGGATGAAATATCGTTAAAATAGGATCACATATCAATTTTCAATCGAAAAATTATACATTTTCAGTCTCAGTTTGAGACCCATTTTTGACATGGCAAACGATCGAATTGGAAGATGTATCTGAATCAAAGTTGTATCCATTTGGGTTATCTTTCCAATGCATTTTGAATCAGGTCAATCAGATACCTGTGGAGAATGTTATGACCAAAATACCGAACGTTGTTCAGAGACAAACCTGCGCAAGCAGGCAAATGCTCTCGCACTCGCAAGGAACTATACGGCGCGCGAGCACATGTATTTTTCACAGACGAATCTCCAATTTTCGAATTTAAGTCAACTACCTATGGAAACAACTATAAATACATATTTTAAAACCCTAGAATAGGGAAAGAACGTACAGAACGACTCCAAACTCAATTCTTCATTATTTATCTCTTAGATNNNNAGAGGTTATTGAATCTTAAGAAGAATGTTTAAATAGATTGAATACAACCGCTGGTGTTTGTGTTATCTAGTTCATCGATTTCTCTAATGTGTAAAGCTGTTATTAAATTGAATCTTAAGGATTGGTCTGAGGTTATTTAATAATTATGGTTAATTAAAACGCTAGTTTCTAACTAATTAAAATTAAGGAGAGATGGGAAAATAATTCCAACGGTGAATATTCGAAATATGAATTGAATTATCCTTATATCTGTGATCAATTGTGGATTTTCGACAGTGGATGTGGACTTAAACCAAGGTTAATCTTTTGATTGTTTTCGTTAATTTAATTTTCATTATTATTGATTGCATTATTTACAATTGTTTGCTTACAAAAACCCCATATCATTGTACGAAATATAAAATATTGAATTACATACTCTTCATGGAATCGACCCCTACTTCCACTACTATATTAGTTTTAGAGGTCAATGTATTATTTTTGGGTGCCGCGACAGCACACACCCAACCCGTGTAAAAAAACAAAAAAATTGACCCAAATCGGTCGGTCGGTTCAGTTTGGGCCGGTTCGATCGGGTTTTGCCCACCCCAAACTATGGATGATAGCGCACCTACTAGCTCGTTAGTAATTTCTACAAGAATGCAAACGAGTTGAGATGAATGAGTCACGATGAATGGAGAATTTCATAGGAACCCTAACTTCTTTTTTTCGTATAGAATAATCAAAATTTGATTAGATACGGAGTGATATTTTAAGAGAATTTGCACTTTTCATCCCCAATATTTACAAAATATAAAAAATACACCGATAACCTTTTTTTAGCACAATACATCCTCAATCTTTCAATTATATAACAAAAATCTTTA